GGGGGGGGGGGGGTCTGGGGGTTTTTGGGCGATCTATTTTCGGTTTCCGTTTTCCGGACATCCATTAGCAATTTTATCTCATTATAATCTAAGATCTATAACCAGGGGTGGTGTTAAAGGGGTAGGGTGGGTTGGGGATGGTAATCCCACCCCCAGTTGTGTGGTAGTCGGGTACATTACCATCAAATAATATGAGAAAACTAATGTGCGGAAATATTTATTAGATACTGACCACCTTTGGGAAAATTTTCAGGCTACAAACCTCAATATATTGAGATAGGTCCTGCAAGGAAATTTCAGTTTTGAAAAGTGGAAACACTGCTTGCCAAAAAAAGTGGCGGCCGTTTCGTAGCGAGTTTTGTAAATATTCTGAAGAAATTGTAGCCATATTCTTCATTTCGCACATCTTTTTAGTATAAAATTACAATAATAGTCAGCAAAATACTCCATTGTAGTAAAATATGTTCGAAGTGATTGTGAAAATCAACCTTTGACACATTGTTTTTGCAAAACGCCATTCGCAAAATGGATGATTTTACGTTCGCGAAAAGTGAATTTGCATTCGCAAATTGCGAATAGCCAGCCGCTAATTCGAGCCCTGTAATACCACTTTGCATACATATGCATACATCAGGGACCTTGGGATTTCCAAGAAGGCGGGGGTGGGGGGGGGGGCAGTGGAGGACTTAGAAATTAAAACTCCTTATTAGTTTAGTATCATTTCCAGGAAATCTGTCGTTGATTTCTAGGGATATTAGATAACCAAAATTAGAATTTTCTTGAGAGGGAGGGTAGGTGGGGGTAATAATCAAAATGATTCAAGTAGACATGGTTTCTTGTGTTTCCTTAAATTCCACGGGAATTCCATGCCCGCTTTAGAAAGAGGTTTATTTTAAAATTAAGATATACCCAGCATTGTCCCAGGGTGGAGTCAGTATAACAAGAATGCAATGTTATGTGACATCACTGAGTTACAATGAATATTTGTTTATTTACCCATACCTGCTACAGGGCCTCTTTTAAGGATATGTACAATTATTGCAATTTTATAGTCGATCCCAAATTTAATCCAGTCCCAATAAGGTAACATGATGTAATAAATGCGGTAATGAAAATGTGCGTGGTATAGTATTATCATTCACCACACTTCAAATTCTACAGTACTGAATTACATGTATTGGGTACTTGACATCGACGCATTTGTCTTTTCAGTGTCACTGAAGAGCAAGATAGGGTGGTTTCTTTGGGGTATCTTTGCTTGGAAAACTAAACTAGTAAGAATTTTGTCCTAAAATACCATTTCATGCCTTTTTCCACGAGCAAATTATTTCAGCCATGGTTTAGATTTCTGGCGATGTTTAAATTTTAGTTCCCAAATTCCTACCGTGAGTCAACTGACTCGGTTGACTTATAGCTAGTTACGGGTCTGCAAGATGATTGCCAAATTCAGAAATGTTAACAACTTAACATCATTTTAATTTCTCACTTTGATATATAATTGCTGGTTGACCACCTACTGCAGGTAGTTCGTAGAGACCTCAATGGGGGACGACCAAATAGCCGACTGGAGGGGCCAGTAAGGGGGCTGGGGGGACATATCTCCCCAGTCTATATGTTAAAAGAGGCCCTGACTTGTCATTCCCCCAGTCTATATGTTAAAAGAGGCGCTGACTTAGCATGATTTATTTCCCCATACCTGTCATGATGAGTGAGGCACTAACACAGCTACGATTTGTATTCTTGGTCAAGCAATCTTGGTTAAACAATTGTTTTTGGTTTACTATCGATTTATTTTTTTATTCGTTTTACTTTACAACATTTGCCATACATGGCAACAAACATAAATTACCACACAAAATGACCACAGAGATATCTCCAATGATGCGGTTTGCCTTCCCCATTGTACATGGTAATGCAAACATGATATTAATTGTTGTCCATTTTTTGCTTAATAAAATTTTTATTTCAGATTTTGTGGAAATTGCTCAGCTAAAATAAAACTTCAGTCTCGATACTGCTGGAACTGCAAAAGAGACACCCAAGGTTGGAATTCCAAGAAAACTGTTAGTCCTGACGAAACATCAAAGAATTCTCCAAGCACCAGTTCATTCGGTAGGCCAAAAAATGAAAGTAGTGAAATAAAGCTTCCAAAAGTAATGACGTTGGATGATTTTATTAAAGAAAAAACATCCAAGAGAAACTGCAGCGCAGAATTTCAAACCAAAAAGAATAAAAAAGCAAAGACCGTTATCCACCCTGATGTTACAATTAACATTGGACAGAAAAAGTTTGTTAATGGTGAAATTAAAACCGTCTGGGGAAAGAGACTTCCTATTTCTATCTCCAGAAAGGGAACCTACGCTCAGATTCTTCAGAAAGGGGTTGAAAAGTGGACAGCATTTGATCGCAACTTTAATGGGACAGAACATTATGTCTTGCTTTACCAAGATGGAAGTTGTGCTCAGTTTATTCCTGGAACATTTAAAAACTTCTTCGATCTCGAGAATTATAAGACTGAATTGGGGCCTTAAAAAAAATAACAATGTATTTGTGTACCAGTAGTGATCTAGAATTATCTGAAGAGTTGCGAAATAAAATAGACTGCGACGAAAGCTCAGATCAAGATTGCTGTGAAGGAAAAACTAGCCATCGATCACGTTTATGACGATGGACATACGGATATCACCACTGATGAAATGCAGCAAATTTAAAGTGGCATGCAACTGGCTCAATTAATTCAAGAAGAGTGGGACGGTGATAATTTAAGTGCGATCAACCCAAAATCAACTGAATATATATATGTATATATATATGGCAGCAAAAGTTGATGATGAGAAAGAATTTTGTGTTGCTACACGAATGAAAGCACACCTCACCAGGACACTTCTCCTTTGGCAGCGTCAACTAAAAAGAATTCACCAACATCAAGGTTAAGAGTGCACTATGTTGGAGAAGATGGTGTAATTCAGGTGCTCTTAGAAAATAAATTATTGACAGCATACTGCAAGATATTAAAGAGTCATGTTCCCCAGTAGTAGTGCCATGCATTCGACCTTCCACGTCCAAAATGGGAATTTCCGTACATGTGGCGAAATAGTCGCCACTTCAATTACACAAGGTGGCTCATCACCATGTTTTCTGCAACCATGTGCATTTGACGCTCTGTGGAAAGAACTTGACGTGTTAAATATTAGTGATGAAGATCTAACAAAAAGAAAGAACATTCGGTTCTCGACGAGGTGAGAGCCAATTGTTTGACTCATACCGATCTCATCATTGAAAATTGCTATTCAGGTGAAGTAACCATTGACCAGCCTAGACCTAGGCCTTCTATTTTTATTTATATTTTTTTAATATTCAGCGCTTTTTCACATGAAAAGACTGGGACTAGATAATTTGGGGACGGGGCGGAGGAAGGACACAAGCCTGACGCAAGCGAAAATATAGAAGGCCTAGTGGATTTCCCAACAACAAGGCCAAAACTTCCCTGAAACTGCCCTGATTGCGAAATGCCCAATTGTTGCGTTCTCAAACAGAATTATTTGCAACTTAACAGCGAATTTAAACCGATACAGGTAAAATAAACTCATTTATAGTATAAACTTACTATTTTTATTTGTATACACGTTTAGAAAATCGGGGTTTTTATCATAAAGTTTGAAACAACACTATTTATATATGTTGACAAGGTGTAGCGAAACGGCACAAAATAATAATTCTTTTATTCGCAAGACGATCTACTGTTTTGCTTTGAATAACTATATTTGCGAATTGGGAATGAGGAATTTGAAATTAGTGTTCAAATATTACAGATATACCATTTGTATAAACAATGTACGTTTTTATATACAGTACTGTACGGGCTAATAATACATGTATCCGTTTTATTTTGTATATTTTACAAACACAAGACTGCTTCTTGCCAAAATTGAGAAAATATATATTAATGTACTTGTGTATAAGACAAAATTTCATGAAAGATTCTACTTTTGGTATATAGGCCTATTTTGACTCATTTTGTTCTTTCGCTACACCTTGTCAACATATTAAATAATAGTGTTGCTTCGAACTTTATGATAAAAAACCGATTTTCTAGACGTGTATACAAGTAAAAATAGTAAGTTTATACTATAAATGAGTTTATTTTACCTGTATCGGTTTAAATTCGCCGTTAAGTTGCAAATAATTCTGTTTGAGAACGCAATAATTGGGCATTTCGCAACCAGGGCAGTTTCAGGGCAGTTTCGGCCTTGTTGTTGGGAAATCAACTAGGCCTCCTAGGCTTGCTTCCTCCGCCCCGCCCCCAAATCACCTAGTCCCAGTCTTTTCATGTGAAAAACCGCTGAATACTAAAAAGTATAAATAAGACTAGAAGGCCTAGGTCTAGGCTGACCATTGACCACGTTGAAGAAATTGTCAATTCCCTAAAAGTCAGTTTTGTAAATCGCCGATACTTCTATATGAATGAGTTCAAAATTGGACTTAATGCATATGGTTTGGGCGACCTAATCTCTTCTCACCCAGATATCTGCATTTTTCCTTGAAGAATTCCATGATGTAACTTTACCCGACGGAGACTACCTTTTTATCCTTCTGAAGCCAAAGTATTCACCCGAGTCAACAACCAAACGAGTCATCGAAGAATCCATGATGCACCACTTGCAGGACCTCCTCATATCTTTTGAAGATCAAGAAATTACCACTAAAGATAGCAGCTCCTATAGCTTGCAGAGAAGGTGATGATGATGGTATTGACGGAGAAGCATTTCAAAGCACTAGTAGCACAGCAGAAGACGTTTTGGAGGAAGCCGATCTATCAGTTGCCGGCATTATGGGTTTGTTAACTGGACAAAAGCACAAGCATATGTTTGAAAAACAACCTACGATTACTGTCCATTTTCACGAGTGCCTTGCTTGTGGCAAGAATCTCACTCTTCCTGTTGCCCATATGAAGAGCAAAGAAGAATTCAAAAACATTTTTGTTAACGGGCAGGAATTTGCTAAACCATAAAGTTTAGCTAAACATTTAGTTACATTGACATTTGAAGTAAATGCTTTAGTTAACATTCTTGACAGATTCATTTTTATATTGCTTTCCTGTTACATACAGCTTCATTATTCAATTAAGGTTGTCTGTGAATGTTAAAACCTTCGACCAGTCGATCTCTAAGAGGAAAATGTTCAATGAGCGTGTTTATTATTTTTATATTGTTTATGCAGGCACGATCTAGTTGTTATATTTTGCTAATTAAGTATATGTCTTTTATTTATGCATAATTTATCAATAGTTCGCAAAGTCTCAATGCTTGCTGCCAGTTAGAAAGAAATTCTCTTTGGGTGTTCTCCATGACATAATTGAAGTATTCTTGGTAGTAATTCTCTTCATGCGCTTCCACCACATGTTGACAAGCATAGTTCATATCTGCTGTGTTGGTGTAATGTACTCAGGTGAATAAGATGTTTGTGTGATGTTACTCTGAGTGTATATCCACACAGCAGATTTCATGATTATTAGATTACACTGATATCGAAGAAACTAGACTCAGTTCCGAAATATCGCATACTCGAACGGTCCTGACCGCGTAGCTCAGTTGGAAGAGCATTGGGCTAGTATTCCAAAGGTCGTAGGTTCGAATCCCGCCGTGGCCAGGCATATTTTTCAAGCCTGCCCGGTGTGGATATACACTCAGAGTAACATCACACAAACATATTATTCACCTGAGTACATTACACCAACACAGCAGATTTCCATTCTCGTACCCAGAGCCCTTCTTACGCGCGGTCAACCGAGCGCGACGAGGGGCTCTGGCCAAATCCATAACCGCATACCATAAAAACATGGTATCCCGTTTAACACTGCGCATGCTCAACGTTAAACGCGGATAAACACTTCGGTTTTCTTGTTTGTTTCGTTTTGAAAGTTTTACTCCAGGAAAACCCCACAAAAGCGGTAGGTTTCGCTAATTTTATTTATTTAAATCAATTAGTAGGTAAGACGATGATACTAGCCTTTGGGAAATAATATCAAACAATTCCCCTTCCCAGTTACCCGCTAACATCATCAGCTGCTCTGAATGGTCATCAAACAATAATATGAAGTTAAACGTATCAAAAACCAAAGAATTGCGTGTCTGCTTTTCTAAGCTTACTCCATCGTTTGCCCCAGGGCGCTATAAAACACGGGCGGTGAAACGGAGATAGCGCCCCTGATCTTTGTGTGATGCGCGTACCCCCCGTATACATTAATTTAATGTCAATAAAAATGGAATTGGAATGTTTATGCAAAAAAGAGCTGAAAAAACTAAAGTAAAAAATGTTTTCTGCACATTCCTAAACAACTTGATGGTTTGAAGACATTGTTGGATTCATTTTCTGTATATCTGATGAAGGAAAAAAGGCTTTAAAGATTCATCATGAGCGAAATAAAAATTTGAAAAGGAATCGAGCTGATCGAATGTGGGAATATTCCAAATACGAAAATTTTGGTATGAAATGGGATATTTTACTTCATAATGCGAAGGTAGGATAAACATTTTCACAGTAAGAATATTCTGACATTGCTTGGCTATTATTTTTCAATAATTATATAGCCAAAAATTGACCATGCATGCATTTAAAACAGCTAGAATTTGGAAAAAAAACAAACTACAATTTGCTTGAACAATTTGAAAACTTAAATATATAACCGTTTTTGTATAACCATGCATGAGCCGGCCTGCTCGGAATCCATTGAAAGTTCATTGTAAAGTGTAAAAAACACTAATTGATTTGATTTCTATTATTGGTATAACTAACTGCCGCCGACACTCCAAAAATATTCAGGTGAATCTTTTTTCGTGCGACTGCAGTCGTTGACATACAGTGACAGTGTTACGGAAAACTATAAAGGCTGCAAAATATCTCCATTTTATGAAAAAAGAACAAAAAAGCCCCGTTCAAGTTTACGTGAGACATAAAGCCAAGTTAAATGTCTATAGTTTGGTGTGTTCAAATTTATCTCAACCTATCTCAACGAGGAGAAAACACTATTTTAAATACGTCCGTTGCAGTTTGTCGAGCTGACATGTTGGAATTCAAGGCTAAAAAAATATGTTTCGACGATCGAAAAAGTCTGTCTTCTTTTGATAAATTTCTGATATATTATGACTTGATTTCAGTTTGTACAATTTTTTAGGGGATGTTTCACACCTAGGAAAAAAACTACACGCAAAAATACAATTTTTCCGCGGTCCTTTCTCAAAACGTAAACATGGCCGCATTCTCTCGGCAGTTTGTCGAGCTGACATGTTGGAATTCAAGGCTAAAAAAATATGTTTCGACGAAAAAGTCTGTCTTCTTTTGATAAATTTCTGATATATTATGACTCGATTTCAGTTTGTACAATTTTTTAGGGGATGTTTCACACCTATAAAAAAACTACACGCAAAAATACAATTTTTCCGCGGTTCTTTTTCAAAACGTAAACATGGCCTCTAAAATGGCCGTATACGCTGTACTTTATCGAGCTGACATGATCTATATATTGTTTTTGAAACTAATTGTTTTTGAACTAATTATGTCTTTGACGGCTTGGGGAATGTTATTTGTATATAAAATCAAATATTGTGGCAATATAATTAGATTGAACAATATTTAAAATGTTCCGCTTGATATTTTAAAAACTTTCGTGTTAACTTGCGTTGCTTCTCCTTGCGATACAAATGATGAACAGCACTATGTTCAGGGAAAAAAGTTATAGCAAAAAAAGTCCAAAAAAGTCCGACTCTTAATTTTAATTATTCTCAAGTATGTATATTCACCTAGGACTACCTAGAGTGTTAAAAAACTCGTATTAAAACCTGACTTTGTGCGCAAAAATAACAAATTTTGAAGGGAACAAAAATCAAAACATTTCTTAAAACATTGACATTTTACAACGCAATGCGCTTTTTGTTTATTTTAATTAAGTAAAGCTGAAGTATAATAGTGTTTCTTTCAAATTACGTTAAATAATTATGTAATAATTTAAAACTTACCTATATTTTCGTTTGTTATTTCGTAGTCTTCGACAAATCTTTTTGTTGCCATTTTTGTGCCGTTCTTTTTGTATTTCTCGCAAAACGCGCGCTTTCGCCAGTCTCCAGCCGCATCACACATAGATCAGCGCGATTACCGCGCGTTTCCTCGCCCGTGTTTTACTACGCCCTGCTACTTCTTATTAAAATCGTGAAATACACTTGCTGGGAATTTCAGATGCTCGTGTATAAATAACAAAACAGCGAATGATATAAACAGTGGCGTAGCCAGCCCGACAATTTAGTCCCGCTATGCAAATTCAAAATTATTATCATTATTCATTTCTTTAGAAATTGATTGTTTTCACAGTCAATGAACATGGAAATATTTGCATAGCGGGACCAAATAGTCGGGCTGGCTACGCTACTGGATATAAATGCTTCAAAACATAACTCTCGCATAAAAAAACATGAATACTTCTATAATATGTATAGTTTTATTCCTCTGCATTATCAAAATTTAATAAAATAGTGAATTAATACAATTTTAAAGTTTATTTAATCCATGTGACACATTTTCACAGGAGATTCACATCTGTATTACTTCATCTGTGGTAAAATGTACCCGCACACGGTGAGCTATCGGCTGAGCTAACAGGCACGAGTAACTTTTTGCTCAGCAGATAGCTCTCGTGTGCGGCAGGCTTTACAATTTCTAAGAATGTTGAAGTTTACAGCTTTGTGATTCACTGGTTTTTGAAAGCATCGGGGTTTTTTTCGTTGGAACTTGCAGGCTAACTCTTCAACAACCTAATGACTGTTTTTAAAGCAAAGCAATTGAAAGGAAAACTTATATTTTCATACGAAGAAGATGAGTGGCGACATTTATGTTGGACTGTTTTGAGCAGATGCTTCGAAGAACATGATATAATCGGACCTTGTATCTTAAAAGTGTACTTGAAACAGCCGAACAAAGTGGTAAATTTTGTTACCCGGTGTGTTGGGCATCATAATTCACAGGAATAGTGCACAGCAGGGTTTAAACTGGCTATGAAATATCGTGAATACTTCGTCGAGTTCTCTACCGCCATGTGACCTGTAGTTTAATGTGACACGCGTCTTTGAAAGGGCTTTACTTGACTTTAATCGACGTATAAGGTATAACTTAGGTAAGCCAACATTTCTTTGTAATGCAAGCTACATTTTCATATCTTTAATGTGTGAATATTTTTAATTTTGTAAAAAATTAATCGCAATATGTTGTTGGAAAAAGTATCGAGTGCTTCATAATAACGCTCAGATCTTGTATACAGATATTCGTATTTTATTCAAAATCTACCCTTTATCACCACTTTTTTTATTCTTTTATGTTAAAGTATACATAATCCTTGACTTAAAAACACGATGATCTACTCGAGGAAAATTGGGCAAAGGGGCGATCTTTGCAGAGAAACTTGACCGTTCGGTGAAATTGGTAGTTTAGAGACCCTATTTTCATTGTAGTATTTCGTGGCAATTTGTTGGCCGATTTCTAGTTTTTATTGTAGAACGGGTTCCTAGTGAATTAAATTAATTGTCTATCCTCTACAGAGTAGTAATAAACGCGTCTCCTTTTTGTTGACGGATGTTGAATTCATTTTAGACTCTTGTTCACCAACAAGAACTACACTACCGAGTACTAAATCACTGTTTGCAAAGAAATGAGCCTATATCACCACAAAAATTCAAGCTTATTTTTGGAGTCAAATAGTTTCTCCACGGATAGAAGTAGTTTTTATGTAGTGAAAAATAGGGCAAGTACGAATTTAAAAAAGGTCAATTTGCACTTGTATATCTCACTTCGAAAAGGATATACATATTAAAAACAGGTATATTTGCACTGCGAAATTAAACTGCTGCAACAAACTTTTTATTTCTACTTTCACGTTCTTATTCCAAAGCAAACACTTCTAAGTTGGAAATGCCTAAAATTGTGAGCGTAGAAACACTAAAGAAACAGAAAACGACTTCATAACAC